GCAGCTGGCATGATTGTGTTGATATCTTCTAACATTTGTCTTCAGCATCAAACAGCTCATTGGGTAGAGATCTCTGGGCTGAGGGGGACCCGGGGAAGACCTAATTGTGGGTTTGTCCCTCACATAGAAGGGTAAGCGAGGCCAAGTTCCAAAAGTACTCCGAGCATTGGCTTCTGTCTGTTGGAATCAGACCTCACAGATCACTCACTCCGCTTGCATGCTGACCCAGAACTTAGGCAGAGCTCAGACTCTTCGAATCCCACAGCAGCCTAGCCTCCTTGTCTCTCTAAACAGCCTGACTGACCGTTGGAAAATTCTTTATGTTGAATCAACATCTGTTTCTCTAGAATTTCCACTCATTGGAGACATGCAGGAGAAAATGTCTTAATACTGCTTCCATAAATATTTGAGGATTGCTAACACGCTTCCTTTCCCCAGCCCCTCCACAAGGCTGCTTTTCTTCCAGCAAAGGCTGCCCACTTCTTCCAAACAGGGAGGCAGTGTGGTGTGGTGGAGAGAATGCCAGCTTTGGACCAGCATGCCTGCAGCCAGTTTTGAGTCTTCCACACCCCAACTCTCAGCTCTGCGAAGCTGTATCTTTCTTTCTTTCTCCACAAAACGTGAACGGACATGCTCACCCTGCCAGGCTGTTGGTTGGACTGGGGAGAAGGGGTGTGAAGAGCATTGCTCATAGTAGAACTACCATAGTGGAGTTGATTTGACCTCAGCAGTCCCCAGTGACAGCACTGCCCGGGGCTTCCTAGGGTCTGATCTTTGTTGAAAGCAGGCTGACACATCTTTTCTACTCTGGAGTGGCAGGAGGGTACCACCAGGGACTTTACATGCACAGTTATTGTGGTCAAGTGCCTTCGAGTAGACTACAATTCACAGCAACCCCATGACAACAGATCTGAACCTCGACCCGCCCTGTGCCATCCTCACAATCTCTGTCAGGCTCAAGCCTGTTGTAATCACTGTGTCAGTCCATCTCATTGAGGGTCTTCCTCTCTTTCACTGACCCTCTGTGTCTCCCAGCATGATGTCTGTATTATACTGTCAGCCATCAGACATGATTTGCAGTGCAGTTTCATTGTCTCTGAACAAATTCTTGTTTGTGTGTCCCTCACCGTCTGCTTTGTAGAACAGAATAAGTTACTGTCTGGGAGGTCTGACTGGAGGGGCAGCGGGATTAGTCAATTTGGGGAACTTCTCTAATTACAGTCACAATTACACTGAGTGTGTCGGAGCCACATCCTTTGACCCCGTTGTGCCTGTCCACTGAGACCCCAGCCTCTCTCTGACATACTGCTGTCTGACACATATTTTCCCCCATCCGGGATTCTTTGCCTTTATCTGAATGGCTAATTATGGTTCTTGAGAGTGGCAGTCCCAAGCCTGTCCTGTCTCCATAGGCCATGCATGTCCTTGTGTTTGTCACATGAGGGGTCTGAAGTTGGGAGTTAGAAAAGCAGGATCATTGAACCCAGGATACCGACCCCACTGCAGTCATGCACAGCTCTGTGATAACACACAGAACTTCTCACGCTCATTTCTGCATGGATCCGGGGCTGCTTATGGAGCTGTGTAGAACTGGAATGTGATCGGAATGCATGATAAGCTGCTGGGGAGTAGGGGGCCTGACACAGCCTGTGATGTGGTAAAACAGGGTGTCTGGAAGCCCAGGACCTCAAAGGTGACCTGAGAAGAGCCAGAGGCAGCACTGGAATTTATGGGTGGTTCCTCCAGGCTCTGTGCTCTGGGTGGGTGTTCATTTCTGGGGCTAATTCTCCCCCAGTGGAGGAAGTGCCTTCTGCAAGACCATAGGCCAGGCTACAAGACTTTTAACTGTTTGGTTTCTGCAGCATTACTGCTGATTTTGCTGCCATTTTCCTCAGGGAAGCAAATTCTCAGCTTTAACTGAGAGCAAGCATCTCTGCATTTTCTCTCAGCCCCTGCTTTGTGCTGGAGTTTCCTCCAGGCAGAAAGATCTTCTCCGCTGAACCAAATTCTGGGGTCCAGGTCTTCTTTCTCCCCAGGAAATTTTTCTGAGCATCTCTCAGTCCCAGACAGGAAAATTCCTGTGGCCTTCTCGATCTTTCCCTGACCCCTCATATGTTCCCCACTTTCTTAAACTCCTTCCTGTCCCGTCTTCTCACTTGTAGGTAAACTGCCCTAGCTTTCAGAATGAGACCCTTTGTGAAGTATTCAGTCTATTCAATAGAAAATGGGTTTCCCCTTGAATGCGAAAGGGTGAAATTTTCTGTTGGGCCCAGAGTTCCATTGACAATAAATCCCCAAAATACAAGAGGCAAAGGTGGTTATTATCCCTGTTGCTAGTGAAAATAGGAAATCCTTTTCTCTGTAGAAAGTACAGATTTAAATTTTAAGTAATTAATTCAGCTCTTACAAGGTAGTTAAAATAGGTAATCCTTGACTTGTATGGGGACTAATTTAAATTTCGTTAAGTAACCAATTAAGGCCATAAAGGGCTTAACTCCATCGGTGGCTTTTCATTTTCTTCAGGAGAAATTCCAAACTCTTTAGGATGTAATCGTTTTCCTAGCCCACTTTTTCGCCTCTCTCTGGCGCCCGCCCCAAAGACTGGTGGTTTTAGCTAAAGGTCGCGCAGTTCTGCGCCTCTGGGGCCTTGCAAGGCGGACCCCTCTGACTGGAATGTTCTTTGTCTCTCTGGTAAATGTCTATTCATCATTCAAGACAACCCTTCCCCCTCTCCTTAATTACTTCCTCCCCTGTGCGCCCTCAAATTCTTGGACTTATTCATGCAGGATTTATTAGGGGCCTGCTTTGTGTCTGGTACCACGACGGGCTCCGGCCCCACAAAGGTGGAGAAAATTTGGGGTCAGCCGTTGAGACCCCTACCTGTTGGGGGAGGAAGCCAATCCATCAACCAAATGGTATCAGGGAAAAAGCATCAGTTCTTGTTTGCCACCATGGTCTGCCTGCCACAGGCGAGCAGAGCCCTAGAGCTAAGGGATTTCTCGTTCTGTTTGTAACCCTGGCTGTCAGTGGCCCACCACCACCACCACCACCACCACACCCCCTCTTTAATCCATTCCCGCACACAGCGAACCCATAGACCACAAGAGAACCTCTCAGGGTCTCCAAAGGTGTTAATCTGTATGGAAGCAGAGTGCCACCTTATCCACCCAAGAGCAGCTCTTGGGTTTAAACCACTGATCTATATAACCCAAACTAACCCTAATCCTAACCTTAGCGCAAAGCGTAGCCCACCAGGGCTCCTTCCTGGCCGCCCGTGGAGGCTAAATACGCATTTAAATGATGACTTTCTTAATTGGAAATGCGTAGATTTGAGACTCTATCCAGCCTTGCCACTGGCACATTTGTCTCTGGTGGCTTGTCTCGCCTCTCGTGGCCCTGATGTCCCCCTCATGCGGATGGAGCACCCACAGTTTAGTAGTCCTGGACTGCACGCTTGGCGCTGGGCGCACGAACCCAGCGCTGCCGCAGTGGTGGAAGCGAAGCCTGCAGCGTCCCTGCTGGTGAGAGATGGACGTGCGCCTCAATTACAGTCGGAAACCCAGCTCCAGTACCAGTGATAGTCCCTGCTTTTCCTTTCTTAGAGACGAGATAAGGTACTTTAGAGGTTCTTGGACTTAGAAAATTGTCTTCCCCTTTACTTGTACCACTTGGCCCTGCCTTTTAATTCAGCTTGAAATAGATAAAGGCGCGCTTCGCTGTAACGACTGTGCCATCCCTGTAAGTGCAGCGCGGGTACACCACAGACCGTGGTGCTACAGCAAAGACAACGTGCGTGGTACCAGGTAGCTGCCCGACTCTCATCTGAAATCAGACTGCCTCCAAGTTTTGCCCTTGTTGATGGACTGGCCACCCTAAGAATTTGCCCGTGAGGTTTAGAACTAGGGCCAACAGAACATGTCCCCACCCGAGGTTGTATCTGTGGTTGTTGAGGGGTAATTTAGGGATTTGAGGAGGGGACGGGCTTTGGTGGATAACTGCTCTAAAATTAAGGTCTCCCACAATTTCAGAACCGACCCGCATGGGACCGCGGGAGGTGCCACCACAGTGTCCCCGAGCTGGGCTATCTTGAGCCCGCGTGCAGCAGGCTCCCAGTAAGCGGGCTCAAGATAGTCCAGCTCGGTGATGCACACCGTGAAACCGGGACCCTGAACCCGATGCACTCCAAGAACCCAGAACTCTGAGCCTGGTGCACCCCACTAGCACGGGACCCTGAATCCAGTATATCTTGTGACCCCGGGACCCTGAGCCCGGCGTATCCCAAGAACCCGGAACCCTGCTCCTGGCACACCCTATGAGCGCTGGGGTACTAGAAGCTCAGCACACCCATGGGTCTTGGACTCTGACCTTGACACACCCCTTGAGCCTGGGTACCCCGAACCCGGGGCATCATCCAGTGTGTGGGTACTGCGAGCTTGGTGCACCCCCGATCCAGGCCACACCTTAAATGGAACGACAGTTTCTCTGGGCAGAGCAGCCTGTGACTGGTCTGCGCAGCAGAGTGGGGGAGATTGATTCTTTGGGGAGACATCCAGGGGTCTTGGAGGCTTGGGGGGATGTCCTTTTCCATGGCCCCAAGTGGCGGTGGAGAGTAAGTGTCGCAGCCTTCCTGTGGGGTGGGGGGCGGGGGACACTGTGAGCCCCGGGCGGCGAGGGGCGGTGGGCGGAGGCAGCAGGCGCGGTGGGCGGTGGGTGCACAGTGGGCGGGCACGGGGCGGGGCGCGGGTGGTCTCTAAAAGCCGGCGCCCACTGGCTCGGCAGCTGCCGCGCATCGAGCCCCTCACGGCGCAGGAGCGCGCTGGCGGCCAGGCGCCTCCTCTGCGGCAGCCGCGCCTCGCAGCAGTGCGGCAGCCGACGTCTATCTGGGGAGCCCGGCCGCTGGGCAGCGGCGCCGCCCTCCAGGGCTGCTGGCCGCCGCTGCCCTTCGCCGGCCGTGCGCCGGCGTCCTCGCAGCTCGGCCGCGGCATGGGCTGAGGGTCGCCATGGTCCGCCGTGACCGCCTGCGCAGGTGGGTGCGCGCCTGCCACAGTGCCAGGGGGTGTGGCTGCGGCCAGGGACCTGGGACGGACGCGGCTGGCGGGTTCCCGGGGTGGGTGTGCTTGGGTCTTGGGCTGCTTTCAGGTCCGCAGACGGCCCAGCGTCCGGGGTGGCCGATCCTGGCCCGTAGGGATGGGCAGAATCCCGGTGTCGCCTGGTACGACTTAGGGTGTTTAGGTCCCAGTATCGCTGTGCGCGATCTAAGATTCACCTGCCGTGGCGTCATTTGGGGTTTTTAGGCTCTTCGTTGCCTCGGCGAGACTTAACGGGTTTTAGACCCGGTATCGCTGTGGCGCAACTTAGCGTATTTAGACCCTGTGCCGCCTTGGCGCAATTTAGGGGTTTTTAAACCCTGGTGCAACCCCGGGAACGCCTTGTACGAGTGAGGGTTTGTGGCTTGGTGACACCTAAAGCGATTTCGGGTTTCCAGACCTCTCCAGAGCGCTTTATTTAACTTAGGGTGTCCTGACTTAGCACGCGGGCTTGGCCAGAATTTTCCACATCATATCACCGAGGTGCAAATGTGTTTCGAATTTCAGTCCCGGGAGGCGCAGGTGAGGACGGCGACGTGACCTGAGGGCCCGTAAGGTGACCAGTGTGGCTGAGCGTGGGCGCATGAAGCTGCCTCGGGCAGCGGCCGCGGGGTCAGGCTTGGCGGTCTCGTTCAAGAGTAACCACGTTGGTTCCAAAAAGGCCGCGATCGCGGCTCCGAGGTGTTGATTCATTCCCGGGCGCGGGGGAGGGTGCTGCAGGGGTTTGCGGAATTTAGACTCTTGATTCCCGGCTCACCAAATAATGACGATTTAGGTCTAAAAAGGATTCAATCTATTCTGCCCGCTCAAAATTGCTCCTTCACCAAAACCCCTGTAACTGTGTTCAGGGACGCATTTGCGGAGGTGGTTGAGGCGCCGGCAGCTCCCTGCTAGTTTTCCTGTACGAGAGGAGAGGGGCGCCCGGGACGCAAGGCTTTGGGCAGCCTCGGCGCGCCCGCTCCCCCGGCTCTGTGCTGAGTCACCGCGGCTCCGGGAATAAATGAATGGGAAATGTGGGTGCCGAGGAGTGGTGGGGTGCCATTCACGAGAGCAGAGGTGTAGCAAGAAGCCAGTGCTTTTTGTCATCTCCCCTTTCCAGAAAGACTTGGAGCGGAGCCCGCTGCTGGTGTCGGTGAAGTCACATAGGGGCCAGTTTAACACTTGGCGCTTTGCAACAGTCTCGGCATTCCTCGTTTGTTACCTTGAAAGATAAAGCAGACTGCTTTGGGGACAGACACCTTGGAGATGAAAAACATTTAAAAAGCCCGAGTGATGCCTGAAACATAGGCAGAGCTGCTGGGGAACCTCGGTTTGGCTGTTCTTAGCGGAGTGTGCGGTGGTCAGTTAGGGATGGGTGGGGTTGTGACCAGGTCACAGGTACTGTGCTGGGCAGACGACACGGGTTCTCCTTGGAGGCGTTGTTCTGCTGCTTTGGTTCCACCGGGGGTCACACAGGAAAGGACGGGAACTGCCCTAGTCCAGCCCCCTGCGCGCCTTCGCTGAGAAATCGCCCTTGGACTTTATTAGTCCCGGGCTGGGATGTTTGGGCGTCACCTCCAAAGACAAAACCAGAGCCCAGATTTATCACTCGTGTGTGTGTGTGTGTGTGTGTGTGTGTGTGTGTGTGTGTGTGTGTGTTCATACAAAATTCAATAAATGGACACTTCCTCACAAACTGTTAAGAAAAGCATGAGGATAATCTGCTGGCCAGACTTGGGGGAGATTAGAAGTTCAGGGTCAGGACAAAGCTGCTTACCTGAGACTGTCGGAGCCCGCCATCCCAATCCCAGAGTCTACCATCAACACTTTCTTCCCGAAAGCTCTGTAGTGACCATTAGGTTCACTTGGAAAATAGGAAAAATGAGAAGGCTTCTCTTGGTTTAGGAACCTGTGGTATTCACACACAACACACACACTCTTAAGAAAAAAAGGGGGGGGATCCCAGTGTCGTGGTACCAGAACTGTTGGTGTAAGTATGAGGGAAATGATTATTTTTTTCCCTTCTCTGAGAAGCCTTGAAAAAAAACCAACAAAGGGGTATATACATCCTAAAGTATTTGAATAATCATTTTACTTTATATAAAGTAAAGTTTACTTTATATATTTAAAATTTAAAATTTACTTTATATATTTTACTTTGTATAAAGTTAAAGTTATTATACTTTGTATAAAGAGTCATTTTACTTTACAGCAGGAATCAGGATGCAGGCTGGCAGAGAGGCTGAAGGTTAAGGTGGGGAAGGAGGGAGGATGACATTAAAACAATTATATCCCCCCCCCCCTTAAAATTGTAAAGGTGAACAAATGCCGTGCGTGATTACCTGGTGGAGACAGGGGTCCTTACACTGTTCTTGGTCACCAAGTAGCTCAGGAGGGACAAAGTTTCCTGCTCTGTTGCACTAGTGTGGGCTAGTAGAGTGGACAGTGTCCCCCCCCCCCTCCACTGACCTCTTCTTTGCTTCTCCCACAGGATGAGGGAGTGGTGGGTCCAGGTGGGGCTGCTGGCGGTGCCCCTGCTGGCCGCCTACCTGCACATCCCACCCCCTCAGCTTTCTCCTGCTCTTCACTCTTGGAAGTCATCAGGCAAATTTTTCACCTACAAGGGACTGCGTATCTTCTACCAAGGTGAGAACAGGGCTGGGGGTGCAATTCAAGGAGAGGGGCCTGCTGAGGGGCTTCTTTTGGGTCCATTAGCCTCAGAGCTTTTCAGTAAGGGAGGGTCCAAGCCCTGGTTCTGTGCCGTGTATTTGAAGGAATGGGCTAATCTGGTCCTTGACAACTGGAAAAATGCAGAGAATTATGGGGGTGGGGGGAGATGGAACTGTGATTCCATCTCTGTAGACTATACATTTTATTATTTTATTTGTAACTTCACTTACTAATATAAAAATCAGTATTTTTTTTTTTTTGTACCCTTACTGGGTTTTGGGTTTTTAGTGGTGGGTTTTTTGTTTGTTTGGTTTAAAGTTTTCCTTTGTTTAGTAATGTCTACAAGTCAGAATTGCCTCCACTGTAAAGGCTTTTGGTGGTGGTCTTCCCCCCACGTAATATATGTAACATTTAGTAGCTGTAACTATCACCGATTTTTTTTATCCCCCCTAAATCTCTGATTTCATGCCATTGAATTATTTTCTATAACGATTATAACTAAATGTAAGTTTCATACTTTGTATAAAGAGATTTGCTAACGATAATTATTCTGTCTTAATCAAATAATTGCCACATGCCAGGAGGCATCGTGCTAGGTCGTCAATCTTCGTTATTTCATTCAATCTTTGCAACAGCACGTGGCGATAGGTGTCAATAACCTCGTTTTATAGGTGAAGAAACTGAGAAACAGATGGAAAAAAGATGTCTTTTGGGCGGGGGTCAAGAGCAATAACGAAAAATGTTTGTCATAAACCGTTTTTCATTATTGCTCCTGACCCCCTCCCATTTGCGCTCTGCCCTGGCGTGAGTATCTCATTTTCTTTACGTTGGTCTGGAATTTGCTGAAAGGAGATAAAGCTCAGGGAAGTCTCTGTGAAGGTGGTTTGGTTTTTCCTCTTGTATTTTCATCTATCCTAGTTATGAACGGAATGATTTTTCTTGGCATAGCATCCCAAGAATAAGACTCTTAGGCAAACCAATGTATATAAACAATTTAATTGCATCTAACCCTGAAATTATTTTTGAAGCCTTATTACCCAATTTTCATGCTGCTGGCAGGATGTGATTATTTTAGTTTTAATCCAGTTAGCCAAGTATTTTACTATTTAAATGTTTGGCTAATTGTTAAAAACTCCTTAAAGATCCCACATCGCATACTGTATTTTTTTCCCATGCATCTATACTGGATGTGAAAAACAGTTATCTTCCCACTTTATGAACTTTGTTTGCAAGCTAGTATAAATTTTTTTTTTTTAAAAGCATCTCCAAATGGACTTTGCTAGTGGATGAGACTGTGAAGATCTGAACATTTTGTTTCTGTTCTGGCTCTGCTGGAATTTAAAAATGCTTGACAAACAGTGTCAGTTAAGGTGGAGAAGTGTGGTGAGGTCACTTCTGAGAGAGATCCAAGAGTGTCGCTTCTGCATTGCTAATGTGTGCGGCACTGACATTTGCCTCTAACTTTAAAAAATAATTAGCATGTCAGTCTTTTATCAATAATACAGAGTAAAGGGAGAAATAGGGGGCATGAGCTTTAAAAGGAAAACAATATACAGATGAAGTCAAACTGCCTTTAAGTATTTCCAAAATAACTTCAGGGGCACAGTTAACAAAAAAAAAAATGCGCTCAGTAACAAAATTTTTATATGCATATTAAATGCAAATAGAGAGAATCAAAAGTCTTTTCTTACCCAAAGATGTAAATCTGCATTTTAAAAAGAAACCTACCATTTAGATATCACCAGGGTTGGGTTGTTGGGTCCTGTTTACCACACTGGGAGACTGGTGGTTTTCCGAGGTGGGCTAACTCCACCTCGCTGTCCTTCCCGCAGACTCGGTGGGTGTGGTCGGGAGCCCGGAGATCGTGGTGCTGTTACACGGCTTCCCGACGTCCAGCTACGACTGGTACAAGGTAACCAGCTCCCTTGTCAGGGGCCTCTGTGTGTCCCACAAACTGAGTGTTCTGCCCGCCATCTAAGCTCCTGCAAATTGGAACTACTTAATAAAATAAGAATGAATATAGAGCTCTTTCTCACTGCAAGTGAATAGAAACTCTTTGGTTATCTGGAAAGGGTCATTGCCAATATCACACCCTCCATTGAGTTAATTACCAGGAACTGTGGGGGCCATAGCTTTGTCCCTTTGTCCAAGCATGAAGCACCCACTTGGCTGTGCACAGAGTCCAAATCCAAGTCCTCTGTCCCCCTAGATCTGGGAAGGTCTGACCCTGAGATTCCATCGCGTAATTGCACTTGATTTCTTGGGCTTTGGCTTCAGCGACAAACCGGTAAGTGGACATGCCTGTGGGCAGTGTGGGGTGGGGTGGGCATGGACTGGACTCCGGCAGCCCTGCACCCTGACTGGCCCCACACCCTGGCTCCCGCAGAGGCCGCACCACTACTCCATCTTCGAGCAAGCCAGCATCGTGGAGGCGCTCCTGCGGCATCTGGGGCTGCAGAATCGCAGGGTCAACTTGCTGTCTCACGACTATGGTGACATCGTGGCCCAGGAGCTGCTGTACAGGTAAGCGTTGATGGCCGCTACTGCCCGGGGTGGGGTTGGTCCTGGGCTTCCTGGTCATTTCTGTCTTGAGGGGTCTTTTCTGCCCTGTGCTGGTGTGGGTGCTCTGAGTCGCATGCGTCTTCCCCCTCCGTTTCAGGTACAAGCAGAATCGATCTGGGCGGCTGACCATCAAGAGTCTCTGTCTGTCAAATGGAGGTAATGGCCTTGGCACGAGGTGGGAGGGGGCCAGAGCCTGGCAGGGCCACCTTTAGATGCCACCCAGGAAGCCCATTGCTGTGGCATCCATTCAGACTCAACCCCATGACTGCTGAGCTGATTCCAACTCAGAGCAGCCCTGTAGGGTCGAACAGCTGCCCCGTCAGGTTTCCGAGGCCATGAATCTTCCCCCAAGCAGACTACAGTGTCTTTCTCCATGGACCAGCTGTTGATCCAGAACTCTGACCTTCTGGTTAGCGGCCAGGCACTTAAACATTGAGCTACCAGGGCTCCTTATTTAGATGTCACCTAAATTTAGTGACATCTAAGTGGTAACCTGATGATACTGCAAGCGGACGGTTAAAGGGATCCTCGCCTTTTCTGTCCAATTGACTGCTTTGGCAATCTGTAGAGGTTTATAGATTTTCTCAGAATAGTGCTTTTAAATAAAGAAAACAGGATCCCAAAGGAAGCTGATTAGTGACATATAATTAATAAAAAGCTGTTAGTCTTGCTGTTATTTTTTAATGCAGTAGGAAGCCAGGTGTAGTGATAGATAGGTCTCACAGCACCAACAGTAGCAGCAACAAACAAATGTTTCCTGCTATTTGCAACAACTGCAACAGGCTAGGAAAATATTTGAGACAAAGTCATAGGTGCATCTAATGCTACCATGGTTTGGTTCCTAATTGCTTAACTGACAATCATGCCAAACTCTTGTTAAGCGGTGAATGAACCTGACTAGAAGTTTTAGAGAGGTTTCTTATTCTTTGCATCCTGTGAGTCCCACCTGTAGAACTACAGAGATCTCAGAGATTTTGACACCCAGAGGTGCTCAGGTCTGCCTGGGACGGGAGACCGTCCCTTTAACGGCAGTGTTCACAGATGCCTTTCTCCTTTTGACTCTGAAGAGAAATGAGAAAAACACAAAAGTTTGCTTTCTTCTGTATCCCAAATCAGTAACGTTCTGTGTCCTGAGGGCTGAAGGGAAATGCTCAGGGGACCTAGTCTGATGGTTGATCATTGCATGTATGAATGCCTATGGAGATTATTTTGATTTTTTTTTCCCTTTTTTTTTTTAAACCTCCAACAGAGGGAATATAATCCCAGGGAGATGTAATTAGAGCTCTTCAGCACAGTCCTCTGGAAAAGTAATTAGATGTCGACACAAAATTTTTATCTGTAATTGTTTTGGCAACAAAGCCCCAAGGGTGCCATGGAATAGGAAAGACAGTTTTAGAAAACGGCTTGTATTTGATGGAGGTTGTTGGTGAATGACTAAGAGAAGTCTCTCCTCCGGCAGGTATCTTTCCCGAGACTCACCGCCCGCTCCTGCTCCAGAAGGTTGGCTGCTCCTTGGTTTTAAGATTTGTGCAGACAGAGAATATTGGGACTTTTATTAGGGTCACACTTGTTGGGATGGGCTAAAATCCTTTCCCCTCTTAGATCAGTGATGATGACCATTTTCCTATTCTTTTGTAAATAAACTTAAATAAAGCCTAAAATGATGTCTGAGAAGAAGAGATCAGCAAATAATCGGAGACGTGTAGCTAAGTAAAGACTGTCATGATCAGCTTGATATTCAGATAAAGTGGGATCCGAGTGTGTAACTGAAAGAAAACCACTTTAGTAAGATATAGAAATTGAGCCCTCGTGGGAATGAGTACAGGTATGCCTTTTAAGAGAAGGAGGGCGGCGGCAAAGCAGAGCCCCACAGCCAGCAGCCTCGCCTTTCAGCGGAGGGAGATTTGGCCAAAGCCCACTTTTAGTTTTTGTCTTGGTCAGTTGTCTTGTGCTGGATCCTTGATTTGCACTTCCACTTGTTTACCGGCAGCTCCTCAAAGACGGAGGCGTGCTGTCGCCCATCCTCACACGCCTGATGAACTTCTTCGTGTTCTCTCGAGGGTAAGTCATTGTCAAGGACTGGAGGGTGACAGGCTGCTCACATGAACATTCTCGACCAGATACGTGTAAACCAAGGAGCTTGCTCCCTGCCGAGAAGTAGGAGGAACAGTTCCTGTCAGCTAAGGTTTGCACTCCTAATGATGCATTTGACCCTCTGGCTTCTCCTCACACTTCTCTTTTTTGACTCTTTCAGTCTGACGCCCGTGTTTGGGCCCTACACCCGGCCCTCTGAGAGTGAACTGTGGGACATGTGGGCAGGGATACGCAACAATGATGGGAACTTGGTCATTGACAGGTAAGAGATGCCACTGTGCCTGGATTGCAGGACAGGTTGTTTGGGGTTTTTTTGGAGGGTGAGGACAGGTGTTGGGCTGCTGGTTTGTTCTCTGTTGTAAGAAGGTAGGTTATCAGCTGTGGCAGACCGGAAAACGAACTCAAGACAGAAGGACAAAAAGTCTGGATAAACAGTTATACATTCTGATGCAAACTGAGTTTGTAATATAGCCCCTGGCTTTGGTGAACCCTCCTCTCCCAGTATTAAATGCCTCAAAATCTTTAATTTGCATTGTGGCAAGAGAGCCTTTGAATCCTCATGTCCATAACGGTTTCTTCCACTCCTCTCCTCTCTAGCCTCTTGCAGTACATTAATCAGAGGAAGAAGTTTAGAAGACGCTGGGTGGGAGCCCTGGCTTCCGTAACAATTCCTAGTGAGTATTTCTACTTTCTCTTAGAAGAAAACTGGAGGATCATGGGGCCAAAGTCACTGCAACTCGTATCATCCCAATTGGAGTTTTTAGATTTAGTAGACAAACACAGGATACCCAGTTAAATTAGAATTTCATATAAACAACATCTGTTATGAGTTTCAGATAAACAAATCATCTGTAGTGTTAAGTAGGTCTTGTGCAGTATTTGACACGTATTCATACCATGTTATGTGCCAGCATCTGTGACTCATGGCAACCCTATGCACAATAGCTCTGAAACCCTGCTCTATCCTGAGCCAAAGGATGTACTTTTTTTTAAAAAAAAATTAATTTTCATTAATGTTTACAGAGACTTAGGGTTTCCAGTCATTCATTGTTGCACTTTTTCCCCTACCCACCCCCAACCTCACAATTCTCTTCTTGAAAAGAAAGAAAAACTCTTTCATTGTTATGCAATCCCCCCCCAAGTCTACTCTACTATTCAGCCTTCACTCTGGACTTCTCTAATGACAAGAATACCCATTCATATATCCTTTTTAAACAGTTCTCTCCATCTATTTCAAGGTCTTATAAAAAAAAATAGTACTTAAAAAAATCATTTCTTTGAAATTCAAATTTAACTGGTGATACCAGAGATGCTAGTGTCCTGGTTGGTAGTGAGGTGTGTATCACTGCACTACTATGGCGGAGGGTCTCCCTGTTAGAGCTGGGCTTAGCTGCTTTCACAACCCAGGACATGCTGAGCTGTGGAGACAGAATGCAGCCTAGATAACTAACTGATCAAGAGGTGGATTTTAATTATCTCTTTGTTCTTACAGATTTAAAAGAAAAGGGGGGGGGGAAATAAGGCATTTTGCCTGAAGTATCTAGTGGTCAGGAAAGTACTAGTTAATTTCAGATCCCTGGCTCAGTCATAGCTGAAGAGAGGCAGAAACGAAGGACCTGTGGTGACAGAGGGGGTGCTGAGAATGGGGCTTTTCCCTGATGTTCAGGCAGACGGGACAGAACTGCTGCTTAGCTGGCAGTGCCAGCTGGACACTGGCCTGTTCCTGCCAGTTCTTTATAGCGTACTTTTAAACAGACCCACAGGCTAGCGTTTTCTACTGTCAGAGTCAAAATACGATTCACTGCAAACTTAAAGGAGGTGTTAATTTTCGATGGATAGGAGAACAGATAGTAACCACCCGTCTTCTCTTTGCTAGTTCATTTCATCTACGGCCCAATGGATCCCATAAATCCCTCCCCGGAGTTTTTGGAGCTGTACAGGTGAGTCTCTCGCAAGGCCTTAATTTTGCTAACTTTGTCCAGATGGGTTAAAAGTATGACCCATTGTGGGCTGTTGCTCTAGCCATCGCCTCAGACCTTTCTGGCTGTTCATTTACAAAGAAGCACGAGCTTCTGAGTTGGGGGATCTTACTAACACATAAATGTAAAGATCAAGAAGTTCAGTTAGAAATTTTCCTTCCACTGACAGTGTATGAAGGTGTATGCATCCAGGTGTATGCTGGCTAAGCTGAAGCACTGAGCCACAGAATGAAAGGAGACAGAGTTTACGCAGTGTTTGCGTGAGCCTGGTTATGAAGCCAGTGCACTGGCCTGAGCTGAGCTGACGGCAAGGAGAGGCTGCCAAGAGCTCCTGGTCGGGAGGAGTGGTGTCTTGGCATGATGGCTGTTCTCTTATTTGGAGCATGTCAGAACATGACATCTTGATTAGGCCACAGAAGACTGTCCCCTATCTTTCTTTCTATACCCTAGTCAACCCAGCAGGAAGTAGCTTCATCCGACTTTAACAAAGCCCCGGTTCTCCCTGCCTCGGGTACGGAAGGTCCTGTTAGTGTCTCATTCTTGGGCAGCTAGTTGCTGCGTGGCGAGCCTGTTGGCTGCCTGCTTCTGAAAGGAAAGGACAGTTACCCTGCTTTGACATTTGTTGCAAATGTGCTGTATTTTCAAGTTGTTGTTTGCTGGATCCTGACTTTTAAAAATTTGTTTTCATTTGCCTTAAATGGAGCTGGTAGGTTACCTGCCCAAGATACAGTTAGAAGAGGATGTGACAGTCCCTTGCGGGTTCCTTCCACCACAGTATGACTGCAGTGACATTTAATGGGGCTTCCCACTGGCTTACACCTCTCCCCTCTGTCCAGCCTCAAGTTCACCTACACATTGTTCTCTTCCACTAGGAAAACGCTGCCGCGGTCCACAGTGTCGATTCTGGATGACCACATTAGCCACTACCCACAGCTAGAGGATCCCATGGGCTTCTTGAATGCATATATGGGCTTCATCAACTCCTTCTGAGGTGGAAAGTGTAGCTTCCCTGTTGCCTCCCCTACTCCCTATCTGTTGTGTATGCCCAAGGAGGCCCTGGCCACTAAATGCCACTCTGATAAAGTCCACTTCCCTCACATTGGTCAACAGAGCATAGTGAAAGGCCAGCGGGAGCTCCAGTAGTCCACCTCCCATTCCTGTGACACCTGATACAGTGTCTTGACTTTGCCTTTGTCGTTTGTGTTATTAGGAAATTCTGATGGGCATTACTTTTGACTGAAGAGAGGCAGGCGTTGTATTTCCTTGAAAGACTTAGCATGTCTGTGGACTTTGCTGAAATATTTAGAGGCACTAATTTCTGGCCCAGCTCCATTTGGAATCCTAGAGGAACGAATGGGGAGGGGTCCTCGCTCTCCTTGAATGGCTTTAAGGGCACGCGCTTCTTAGTTCTCTGAGCTCCATGGTGTCAAGGGAGAGTGAGTCTCCTTTGTCCTAACTTTGGCTTTACTTTCATCAGCTGCTTCTAATTATAGTCATTTTGTTAGATTTTGGCTTAAATAATGTAGTAGTCTAAGTATGCTTTCTTTGCTTTAACACTATGATTTATCTACTTGTATGCGAATATACTAAACCAGCAGATACTCACTGGCAAGTAGTGACCCCAACTAAATACTAAATTACTAATTTGCTTGATTTCTAAATAAATGGAACTAAATCTAGACTTTCCTAAAATCACAAGGTATTAGTGGCGCATCTGCGCCAGAGACTGACTGTTCTTTGCTGTGAGGACCAGTTCTGACAGCAAACAGTGGTGGACTCTCCAGACCTCAGTGCTGTGGCCAGTCCCTGGCAGTGGCTGCCCAGGGGGGAGGGGATCCAGTCCCAGCCACCAGGCTCAATGCGCACTAACACCTCTGACGATTGGCTAACTGCTCTTGGCTGTCCCAGAGAGGCTTTCTCATGGAGCTCAGCATTTCCTGTGCTTTGCAGACAGGAAAGTTCCAGAAATTTTGAAGAAACAAATTTGAAAGACCTGTGAGCAAATGGTGCTGAACACATTTTTTTTTAAGCCACAGTTTCATTGTCTTAGTCAACACAGGATTATTAAATGATTATTTGAATTTTTTTTTATTATTAGCAGCTTCAAGTATAACAACAGTGAAAGTGAAATAAGTGTTTATTTTCTATTAATAAAAATGAATTTTGACAAAATTGGACTCTGGCTTCCCCTCCCCACCACCCTTCTGGGATAAACATTTTCTGACAATGCCAGGAGCTTTCAGACACATGTTAACAAAAAGAATCTGATGAAGTTAAGCAGCTGGGGTAGAGAATAGTATTTCCAAAACCACCCAAAGCTGCACTAGCCTATCAACACTGAACAAATAAAATAAAAAGAGAAAACAGAAACAACCACGCACAAGGACAGATGTTTGCTTGATCTGCTGGCTTAGGACCAAACATGAATTTTTTTTTCTCTCCAAAAGCATTAATCTTTTAAAAGGTGATTCTGGGAGCTTAAACTCCACTTCCCGGTGTGCGCACTCCACCACTTTCCTTTAGTGCCGGGTCAGAACTTAGCCAACAGAAGCTAGGATCACATCAACAGGGGTTCCTTCTTTGCTTCTGACAGTCACCTGCATGGTCACTCCATCAGCTAAGGCCAGCCTGGACCTCACCAATAAGTCAGAGCCACCTCTGAACACACCTGAGAGGAAAGAGTAAGGAAAGCCAGGCTCTGAATAATGTTTATCATGCTCTGCCCACATAGCCTTTGTGTGCACAGTGGGACATGAATCTGATAAATAGATTTGAAATGCTTTTTTATGCTCCCATGATACCAGGCACAGAGACGGGATTCCGTAATACTGACTTGGAGTCCTTGAGGGTAGAGGGGGGCACTGGAATTTGCAGGAGAGCTTTAAGGAAGTGCTGTGGGCCAAATAGCTTAAAAACAAGACCCTAGTAATAATAGTAGAAAAATTAAGCAGCTAAAACTAGCTTTTCTTCTGACTGGGCTTTAAACTGTAACTCATGTGATGAGATCATGGGACAATAAAGGGACATAACAGTATCTCCCCACTAAATCCCCACCTGTTGACATTTTCGACAAAATACAGAGGCAATCTGATGGGAGATTCTTACCTGCCAGATAGAGGGAATGGGAATTCTTGTTCTCAGGTACTTTGTCTGACCTCTCACATGGCTGCATGCCCAGGAAGGTGATGATGTTGTTGACAGCCTCTGTCGATAAGATTTATGTGACAGCATTAGTTCAAGATGGGAACCTAGTGCGGCTCCAGGATGTGCTGAGAACTGGAGGGGGAAAGGGGGAGGCTACTGCACTAGAAACGGGCTGATTCAGATGCCGGAGATGCGGCCTTGGTCTGCTAGGTGGGATGAGATCTGTGAAGCATTTTAAGAAAATGGAGTCCTCTGGTGTGACAGCAATGCTGATACTTTGATACAAGTTGATAACAAAACTGTTTCTCACCTTCCAGAGTTTTGGTAGAACTGAGGGCAAAGGTCTCCTCTTTCTCAAAAGTATCTCCCACCTCCTCCCAGGCAGCAGCGAAGTTAGGCTTCAGAACCTTCTGAATGTGGTCAGACATGGTCACTTCAAGGTCTTCCAGCTGGTGGTAACAGAGCACAGGTCAGTAAACAATGCCCTGCTGGCACGCAGCAAAGATGGAAGAGACCAGCTGATTTAGTGTGTGCTTCTGCATCAACCTAATCCTTTGCAGGAGTCTAGGAAAAGCTCTGCTACCAAAATGGTTTAAGTCTTTTAGTCTTGATAGACCCAGTGCTATAGACTCTAGTCAAGGAGAGGACAGAAGCATGCTATCTGGCAGGAGCTCTATCCAGAGCAGCAGATGAAGCTGTGAGGTACCACTTCATGCCATCTTGCCACCTCATCTAACCACCAAGTTCAGGCCATACCGTGCATATGGAGTTAAAACACTCGTTAGCAGGCTGGGGTGTTGTTGTTGTTTTGTTTGCAGTTTCCCTTCTAGTGTGTAAAGGCTTTTCAGCCCACAATCTGCCTGTATCATAGGAAAACTTAAAAGTTGCTGAACCAGAAACACACGTTGAATAAAATGGATCTCAGTTAAAATGATGCCGTTATTTTCATCTCTTAATTAATTACCCCTATTAAAAAAGAGTTTTAAAAAGGAGGAGTTTCTTTGCTTTAAATTAGTAATAGCATGGTAAAGCTTGTCCCTGTGGAATGACACATGTCCATTACAGAAGAGCAGTCCGTGGTCCAGGTCCAGAGCCATCACCTGTCTGAGCAAAGTACAGACAGACCCACAGTTCATGTCACGCAGCCTGTCCTGGCTGGCAGCACTCACCACATACTCATCGTCATATCCATCTTCATCTGGAACTCCAGTGTTAGGGTCGCAGTCCCGCACGGTAAACTTCATGGTGCAGCTGAAGGTGCACGTGACTGGTGGAGGAGCACAGGGAGTCTCCGTCAGCGGGGTCGTGAGCACGCAGCCTCTCCCCGGCTCACGCAGCACCTTCTGCTCTGGGCACTGTTCTACGTGAGGCAGGTAAATACACAAGCCCTGCTTTCTAGGGGGTGGTTCCCGGGTGCAGCACGCAGGCTGGCCACAGAGGCAAGCTTGCAGAGTCTCATCTTACATTTGATTCTCTACTGCGGGGTCAGAGTAGTATAGAAAAGATGGCATTGGGCAAGCTCAGTTTTTATCTTGGTATAAAGGACATAGTTGGGAGACTGTGGGTATCTTACCATGCCTGTTAAAAGGACTGGTGGGTTGAAAAGTTGAAGAACCACCACTATTCTGGGGTAAAAAAATCTTGACTCAAATTAGTATTGATACTGACCAATGGTCTCTTCAGATTGTGGACTGACAGTGGGTCACAGATGACTCAAATGATTTGCTTTATGTCAAATCCCAGCCCACATGATTAGATTAATAATGAGGTTCTACTAGAAATGAACTTAGTGTCTTACGATGTAAAAAGTAAGTGAGAGTTGAAATAACTAGCAGAAATAGTAAGAAATGGGGATGGACTGCTAGGATTTGGCAGAGGCTTGGTGGCAGTGGGCATATACTGTCTGAGTCTACTCTGTAAAAAGCTAAGGAAAAGTATACAGACAGAACAAGACACCCTGGTGGTTTCCAGGAATGGGGGTGAAGGGGAGGGGAAGGAAAAGGGATAATTTAGTCCTAACCGTACAGTACATTGGTTGAAGGGGAAAACTCTTAACAAATCAACAAAAACTGAAGGATTATTTCTAGAAAAGTTAAGTCTTCAAAAAGATAGGATTTTCTGTAGGAGGAGATTTAGGGAGCATGGATGAAGAAAACACATTAAGGGGCTAGAGAGGCTTATCATCATTGCCTTCGAGTCAGTGCCAACTCCTAGCAACCTTAAGACACAGGCAAACTGTCCCACTGGGCGGCCAAGGCTGTGAATCGCTGTGGAAGCAGACTCACAACATTCTCCTCTGGGGCACGTGGTGGGTTTGAACTGCTAGCCTTTCAGTTAGCAGCCAAACTCTAGCAGGCAACTAAAGCTCTGAGAAAAGGCTTATAGGTACAATAATGATTGGAAATTGGAGAGCTGACATAAATGCAAGCCACTGAATGACAGAGTTGGGTGGTAAAAGGTTCATCTGCTCAGTCCTGACATTAACTCATCACCCCATCCATCCTTGAAGATCATGTCAGTACACATTGACATTGCATGTAAAGGTGTAAGATGACGAGCCAGACATTTAGATAGAAAGATGCCAGAGGTCATCAAAGATAGCCTTGGTCTTTAAGGGCTGATGAAGAGTGAACTAAGTGTGTGATATACATGATGCTAAGGGGTGAAGAGGAGTGAGAGGCTACAGTCCAGTGGCCACAGGTTCATCAAAGAGTTTCCAGATTATTGAATAAAGGGGCAGAGGACCCTAGAGCAGTCTGAGAAAACGATAAATCTGAAAGGATTGAATGGTTTGACTGGATCTCAAAAGATGAGGATGAGCTTTTGCAAGTGGAGGAAGAGACAAGCAAAGGGACAGAGGCTGACCAGGTCCAGGGTTGTCTGGAAACAGTGAGAGGTATGCTAGGGTGTTAAGTGTGTAGAAGAGAACTAGTTTAGGAATGAATTGTGAAATAGTT